CCCATTTTGAATTTAGAACGGCCCATTCTGAACTCATTCATCATGTGTAAAATTCACATCCAGAACTTCCCGTTCTTAAACCAGAACAACCCATTTTGGGGTTGCATTTTAACCCATAACAGCCATGTTTGGAACGGTCCATTCTTATACCAGAATGGTCCGTTCCCAACTAGGGTTATAGGCTTTTTTAGTAGTTTGGATCGGGCCATTCTGGGCTACCAAAAATAGGTCTTTTTAGTAGTTTAGGACGGCCCATTCCAGTTTTGGAAACGACCCGTTCTAGACTACTAAATCACCCTTATTGGGCTTCTTCGTATAATCTGTGAAAATCAGGGTGTTACACACACACACACACATATATATATTTATATATATATATATATATATTTATATATATATATATATATATATATATATATTAAGAGATATCAAGAGAACAACGAACTAACTTAAGCATCAGAGTCCTTTTTCTAGGTACATTAGAATAGACATCGTATCATAAAATAAGGATATTAAGGAGAGAAAGGATATCTCACATGGGAACATTAGTCTCGGAGCTATCCCTGGTGAGAACACCAGTCATTATCCAAACATCTTAAAGACATACTTTTTTCTCTTACAAATAATATTGGAGTAAATTAAGAAATCTTATTTTTTTTTTATAAAAAATAATGCTTATTAAAGAAAATCATCAAATATTCATAATCAGAATCAATAATAAAGTTTATTTCTTAGATGTATGGTGCTCTTATTGAAATCTATTAAAGATATAATCAAAGTTTCATATCATCAAAACAAGAGGAGAAATATATGTTTATAAGCACATGTATGTCTCCATTAAATTGAGACCTTTTGGGTGACAATCAAAAATAAATATATGAGAGTTTAATTTGAAAGTGGACAACATCATATTAATGTTGATATATGTGTGTAAACCTTTGGTACACAACAAGTAGTATCAGAGCTGGTGATTCGACCATGTGACTAATTAGTGGAATTGATGGTGGATTCAGACATAGGATCCCTTGTATCGAAGATCTTCTTGACCTTGGATTCATATATGAAAATTCTTATTGGTGATTGTTGTGAGCTAAAGGTAGACTAACAATGCAAGTTATTAAAACATGGTTAAGCTCTATGGGTCACTATTGAAATCTCATGAATCAAAAGATAACTTTCAATAAAGGGAGACCACGTCATCAAAACAAGAGGAGAACGAGTGTAATCAAAGAATTATATAATTCCAATTCTAAAGTGGTTTTTCCCATAACATAAACCACTCTCCAACATGAGTGAGGCCTTTCAAATAAAATTTGAAAGATAATTTTTTTTCTTTAAATGAGAATGATATATGTTGGGGCCTTTTTTCAATATATGTAACTTATATTTTATAAAGTTAATTAATAGCAATTTTTTCCTATACCTAATTAAGTTTAAATTTTAGTAATTTTACCCTTAAACAAACATTACTAGCCAACATTTATGGGTTGAATCGAGTACAAGATATGTATGTATTAATAATATAAAAGGAATTTATAAGTTATAATAGTCACTCAAAATTCACAAAATTTTTATTAAAATTATTTAAGATATACTAAATTATGTAAGAGATTCATCAAATAAAAAAACTAAGACTCTTAATCTTGTTCTTTTAGTGAAATTTAGATAATAATAAAGAATACTTATGTTATTAACTTTTTCTCATAAGACAAAATGTGACCGTGTTTATTTATAAAATATAAGATTTTGATATTGTACTATATGTAAAAAAGAAACAAATTTATCTAACAAAGAGATATAATTTCTTTTTACTATATCGATTTTTATAAAATTAAAATAGTATTTTGTAATCACAATTCTAATGACAGCTACTTGTGTAAATAATTAAATATTCCTCTTTGAAGTGCTGCATGTTCAAGAAACAGAACAATATGCATCATATGCTACAATTAAACAATAATCTATTAAAAGATAAAATAAAATAATAGATGGCTTGAAAAGGGAACTGGTTCGTCTTTAGGTTGCATAAAATGGAGTTTAGTGGCATTGGTCGCACCCTATTCCATTGTGCATTCCACTATATATAATCACTAACTATCATGACACTGACTACACTGCTCACATCAATACCTAAAATGCATATGCAAACAATGTATACACACACGACAAGATTAGCCAAAAATAAAATGCTCTATTCATTTATTTGATGTGTTGTCCTAAATATAATTTCAGAGATGCTTGTCAGTTAATCAAAATTCATGAATCTTTATTGGTTCAATACTTATTTAGATCTTAAATTTATCTCTTTTTATAATTATGAAGTTTTAACTACTTTCATTTGAGAACTTAAATTTATCCACTTATTTCAAGAATAAATTTATTTAAATTTACTTTACTTAATAATTCATATTATTATCAAAATGTAACAATTTAATTATTAAATTAAAAATTCTTAACGTCAAATTTACAAATTTTTTAAAATTTTAAAATTTATTTGATACTCTATTTTTTTTAATTCAAATACACACATGCACATGTACACAAGTATATGCACACACACATATGTAATAAATTTATATGTAAATAATTTAAATATTAATTAAATATTCATTGATTCTTGAGTTTTACTAATATTTAAAGAATAATTTTTTATTTTATTTTAGAGGACTAGATAACATGTAACATGGTTTCTAATCCATGAAAGATTATTTATATAATTTTATGACTAAAAAACCATTTAGCTAGGAGATATCAAGTCCGAAGAAAATCCCACAATTGGGATGAAGTTGTATAGGGTTGACATTAATCTTAGTCAAAAACTTACTCAAAAGTAAAAGGGGCCATTAGGCCAAGATCAGAAAAGACTCATCGGTATGCCAAAGTAAAAAAATAAAAAATAAAATAATAAAAATAAAATAAAAACATTAGGCGAACCAATAAGGAAAACAAGATCATTAAGATTTGCAAGGTTCTACCACTAGAAGATCGACAACATCTAAGGAAAAAAATAACACATTTTTTCTGCAGCTTAGCAATACTCACTAAGGTATTAAATTTACTATAATATTTCCCTACACCACCCCTC